TTCTCTTTTTCGGAGGGGGAAAAAGAGAATCTAGAATCTTTATCATTCACTTTTCATTATTAATTTTCTAAGGAAATTATCCAGGAATATTATGTTACAATGATACAATTACCTTACAAAAATTGATAGATATCAGTAAATAAAAGTCGTACGAAGACTTATATATAGACTTTAATATTTTAAAATCAAACTTAAAAATTATTTTTTGTTTATTTGCCATTTTGTTTTATTGATCATAATTACAATTTATTCTAATAACGCTCGATTTTTAGTAGGTAAGATACTTTTCTTATTAAGTTAATTAAAATATAATGAATCTAATTATGATAAATAAATATCAAATATATGAATTAGATATTAAGATAAAGGAAAAGAATGAAATTATTTATAATTAAATATTTAAAAAGATTCCTTTCATTTTTTTAATTTTAATAATCACGTACTATACAATGTATAAATTATTTCGTTTAATAATAAAAAATATTCAAGAGAGATACGAAAATTTATAGCTAAAAAAGATGAATTTGTCGCAAATGGAAAATACGTGATACTTTCCGTTCTTGGAAGCTGAATGTACACGATATATATATACACAATAAATTTTTATCTGTTTTTTTTTTTTTTAACAGGTTTATATTGATAAAATATTTTAGATTTAAGACCACAATATAACCTTGTGATTATTTGCCTCAAATAAAAAAAAAAAAAAAAAGAAAAGAAAGAAAAAACGAGAAGGAAAAAATCGAATGGATAACGTTTAGAGAATATATAAATTCCTAACGCGGCATGAATAAAAATAACACGGAAGTCGATAAAGCAGAGAAATCTGATGTCTTTGTTGCTTGCAAATTTCATTTTCCAATTTCACGATAAACTGTGTGAGCGTAAGCAATGAAACCTCACCTTTGATCCTTGTACTAGACCTCAAATATTTCGCTGTATACGTATCTCGTATCGCGCATCTTTTGTTTTAATATAAAGTAAAGAGGAAGAGGGAAGAGGAAGGAGAAAGGAGATAACGAAAAGAAATACGTTGAATTATAGTAAATCTGTAGAATCGTTTTTTGGCCTCTGTTATTTAATTCTGCGAGAAATATAATACTCCTGCATCAAATCTCTCGATAGATTCGAGAGAAAGTCAAAACCTGATGTACTATTTTCATCGCAATTATAATTCACTCCGATTATACTCTAAACTGTATAACAATTGAAAAGAGGCGGCCACCGCGAACATTCTTTTTCCATTCGTCGCTATGAAATGGTCGAGCACTTTTTGCTTTCTGCACCGATATTCCATCGACTGCATATTGCAGGCTTTATACATTCCATTGATCTGCCAACAAAGCCCTCTTGTTCTTTAATTCGCTTAATAGGAAACAACAGGAAAGAAAACCGAATCATCCGGTAATATTGTCCTTTTATCCGTAGACGGTAGCCAAGTGAAAACGTCGATTATTTCTCTTTTCCTTCCTCTCTCTCTCTCTTCTTTTTTTTCCTTTTTCCCTTTAGTGTCACTGAATTTCGCCACGTACCACGATCCGCCATGGATTTCACTCTTCCCCTCTCTTTCTCCATGATAACTCTGTTTTTCAAAATATCACCATACGATACGACTGTGCGTTGTGATATCGAAATTTACAATTTTTTATGTATTTTGTCGTTTTTTTTGTTTTTTTTTTTATTTCAATTTCGTTCACTTATCGTCGAGACGAGTTTTGACGAGTTGGAAGAAAGTTTGGGTCGTTTGATCTGAAAGCTTTGATCTTTTCCGTGGAAGGATGTATAAGTTTTTCTTCTTGGCAAAAAGAAAAATTTAGTGTATTTTTTTTTTTTTCGTTATTTATATACATATACATACGATATTATTTCATGGTTACTACACTATGCGTAAAGCAACAACGTGTCTTTAATTATAGGCACGCTCATAATTAAATCAACCTTGCCAAGTTTTGTATTTAGTGTACGGGCCGTAAGTGTACCGTGTCCTTTCATCATTTTTGAAAAGCTTCGCGCAACGTGTGTACCTTCCGTCTATGTGAATTGTTAAAGAGAAGAGCTTTAACGCTAAAACAAGTAATATGTATATCTATGTACATATATATATATGTTTTAAATTATTTTTATATTATTTTAATATATGCAAAGAATCTTTTTTTGATTATAATGACATATATAAAATGTAGATAAATTTTTACAACAAATTTTTGAATTGTTATTAAAATGGTATTATTTTTCATTTACATATCAATTAATATTCATATCAGAATTCTTAAATCATTAATTGAATAATTATATTTTTCATTAGTAACAATTAAATTAATTAATTATTATTATTATGTATAACAGTATTATAAGAATTAAAAAAATGCAAACGAAAATTACTTTTATTTTTCTGTTATAACATACAGAATATTAAATATCGTGATATAATTTATCGATATTTTCTTATCTTCACATTATTGACAAAGTTATTTAAATATCTTGTTATCGCAAGATTAAAGCTTAAAACAATAAGTAGATGTATTATTTTAATCCAATCAATTGTGAATATAGATCACTTTTTTAAATAAAATAAATTTATTTTATTTTAAAATAAGATTTTAAAATTAGTGATATAAATGGAAGCAATAGATTTTTATTTCGTTTAAAGATTTATTTTATATTATTTTATATTATTTTATAAGAATAAAAAATAACTTTTTTAGTTTTCATGCTATTTTATTCCTAAAACAAAATTTCAATATATTAGTTTATGAGTAATTCTTAGTCATAAATGTGATAAAAATAAATGTATATCATCACTATTTGCGAATATCTAATCAGCATTTATTTGTATTTGAAAATTTTCCAAACTTGATTAATTCGAAAACGAAGCCTCAAATGAAATAAACTTAATTTTTTTCGACTTACTTTTTTTTTCTTTTTACATAGAATTATCCTCTATCTGATTGTACTAACGATCTGTATAATCGAAGAAAGAATAAATGAAGTTATTCTATTATATATAATTAAATTAATAAACAAACTATGGAGAAATAGAATGAACAAAGTTATAATTAAATTAATAAGCAAATCATAAATTATTTTTCATGTTTATTCTCTTTATGTGGACGTATATGAGCATTTTGTGCTAATTATATATATTTTTATAGAGAAATCTAATAGAAAAATATAACAAGAGCATTGTGAACATAACTGCAAACTTTTCTCATATTTTATGTTGAATTTCATCCGATTGCACATAGCTCATAAAAATTCACCATTACATTCGTTTTTACTGTTATACTTGTGCAATACAAAATGTGCAGTGAAATTGAAACATTACTTCTATTACGTATGGCTCAGCGGGTTCTGCGATTATTCCTCAAAAATTTAATAATTATATTTCACAGGACAGAGATTCAATACCTTTCAGAGCGAGAAAATAGATATAATGCAAATTTAAAATTTCTTGCAGAATTAAAATATTTGTTCAAATCATTTTCTTTCACTTTAATGTGCTTTGAAATTTTATATTTTATTAAAATTGCAATTTAGCATTATTCCTAATGAAAATGAAATTGTTGATGTTAGGATTAAGTTCTAGCTTTTTAGCTTTGTATAATATATCCCAAAAAAATGATAAAACTTAGAAATTGTCTTTAATGTATTTTTCATGAATATATTCTTTTGCACAAATTCAATAAACAATTGTAATTTTAAAATTTTTTTGAAATATAAATAAAAGATTTTTCAAGACTTGAATTAAAATTTTTAGGTAAATTGAAAATAATTTTATATTTAACGATTTTAAGAATATAATTCTAGATTTAGATTATCTTTTTTATCCTTTAAAACTTCTTTACTTTTATGTATATATAAATTATATTTTATTTTATCACTGATCTTTTACAGTTTCCAACTCTGGATCAAATTAATCACTAAAATATTTACATTTAATCGATGTGTTTATTGTCGAATTAAAAACACTTTTTGTGTAAAAGTTTTCCTGTAAATCAATTACATCAAATAAAGATTATATTTAGTAAAAAGAACTCTGTCAATAAAGTAAAGAAATTAAACAATATTTGTCAAACGATAAATAATTCATATTATGTTTCATTGGAAAATGTGGTTGCCCGTGAACCTTCCTCCGCTTTATCATTTACTAATGCAACTCTCTAAATTGCGAATATTTCAATTCACACGATAACATACAAACTTAAATTCAACCATAACGTTATATGTGCATACTCTTTCGAAATTGATCAGGCAACTGTTGATAAATGGATGCGGTCCGATTCGATCAATGGATAACAAATTTCAATATGTCATCACTCTCAGTGACTCTTATTTGCTTATTTACCAATTATTTATTTAATACATTATAAATTATTAATCTGTTATCTTAATATCTTAAATGTATTTAAAATTTTCATATTTTTTTCATCGAAAAAAATTTATAGATAGAGATAGAAAATTTTTTTATATCTATTTATTTTCTATTTTAATTATGTATTATAGATATATTATAGGGCAAAAATTTGGAAAAGTTTGGAAAAGCTATTTAATGAAATTTAATAAAACATTTATATTATAATTTTAAAGGAAAAGAAATAGAAAAACTATTCTTGATTTTTATGAATCATCAAGGTATAATGTAAATATATGTATAAAAATTTAAAATGTAGTGATACCTATTATAATACTTTCTTATCAATCATTTAGAAATAATGCTAAAAGATTAACTTAAAAAAAAATACATAACTTAAAAATCATATCAATTTTCCACTCTATCATCACTTGAGAGCTTTTAAAATAAAAAAATTTGAAAAAAAGAATCCTATTAAAATTCCATTACCTGGAAATAAAACATATACATATATTCACAAGAAATCTATATATCTATCAACTATTATTTTCAATCGAAAACTAATAACTAATATTCGATGTTGGAAGAGAAATGATTCCAAATTTTTGATCAGTAGATATTATATTAAACATAATATCATTATAATAGAACATAAATAGAATATAAATATACGTAAAGAAGATTTTTAAAATTTCAATTTAACGAATATCTAACTAGATTGCTAGGGCTACGAGATAACATTGATATCGATCCATCGTTGATTCATTGGGTCTGGACAGGTGACGTGGCTGGATCTTCTGACTGATTTACCCAGCCCGGTGGTGGTACCGGTGGACTCATTTTCTTGGTGCATCGTCCAGCCCATGGGTTGCATACTAACGGTCCACAGCAGTCTTTGTCGTCGGAGCACTACGGCAAATTACACCCGATGATTAGCCATTCACGTGCGTACGAAAAGAGCCGGTCGACGTGTCGCGAAAAATTTCGAAAAATTATCGGACGTCGCACAGGGATTCCTCGCTTTGTAAACAAATGTACGACGAGTCTATCACTAAATTGCGTGCCATATAGCGGATTGAAAATGTATTTATACTCTCTCTCTCTCTCTC